AGATCCGCCTACTAAAACTGTCATTTCACCTTGTTTGCATTCTAAGTTGAGATTTTCTAATACCATCGTTTTGCGATGAATGGAATAGCCAAAACAAATATTTTCGAACTGAATTTTTTCAAACACATCTGACTAAAACAGGTCTAAATATGAATCTAATAAACACAGACCCGAAATGATTAGCTACTAAAGGATTTTGATATACATCTGCGACACTATATTCGATCCCAATCTGTGAGTCATATCTCGGACGTATATATTCATGAAACATTTACTAATCTATCTCTGTAGCTCAATGATTAGAGGGTTTGGGGTTCAGTCTTTTCCAGTATGACGTGATCATTGTGAAAAGTTCTTAGTCTGTTCTGTAATTAAAATACGCATTTTCATCATTAGCTCTTCGTCTGGCTATTCATATTTTATGCTATAAAGAAAAAGATAATATCCTGTCTGTAAAAAACAGACATAATATTTGAATTCTGTTGCCAGATTTCGCAAATGAAGCTGTGTAGACAAGTTGACAAAGTCCACCAAATATGCCGATAAAAAATATAATTATACAATAAATACGCGCTTGTTGTTCTTGTTTTTGATAATCTTGTTCAGTGAATAAAACATACAATTCCGTAAATAATAATGCAAAACCTGGTGTTACACCTCCATAAATCAATGATGCGAAGCAACCAAATACCAGATAACACCATTCAGACTGACTTATTTTCAATATTTTGAGAATAAAACCTGAATGTTTATTTTCAGAAATTTCACTTTCTTCGTCTTCTTCTTCTTCTTCTGTTTCTTGTTTTCCGTGTTCTTCGTTTATTTTTGTTTCGGATACTATGTCAACGTTATCATCTTCCAACGTGATAGCAGCTATAAGAGATGGAATACACAAGTTAGTAAAAGTGAATCACACTTTACGGTCAGTATCGCGCCTTCTCCTGTCATAACTGACAAAATGGAGGAAGTTGTTCGTATTTCGTAGACGTTTTCTGCGAGATACATCTCGAAAACTCTACTTTCAGCACCTGTGACTACAAATTCTAATTCGGGAAGACACAGAGCCTAAATTTCGATTGAATGATTATTTGCTTATTACAACAGGGACCTCTAAGAAATTTTCGTAGGATCTTTTGAGTTTACGAGTTAAAAAGGCTCATCAAATTAGAACGAACCAAAA